CGGTGACGTTGGTACCAAAGTCATGCATGGCGAGAGGTCATTGCAACATGCTTGCTATGCAAACAATTTGCCACACGAAATCTGAGGAGCAGAAAATCTGAAATACTTAAAAAGGCACTCAAGACCTGACTTTTCAAGAGACCCTTTGACTAGATCAATCGTGGTCTAAGCGCGTTTGAGAAGTAGTTAATTGGAAAATACATATTCTTAATTAAGTTGAATTGAATTTAACGTCAAAGTATGGTGTGTCCGTCAACAACCTCGCTGTGTGGACCTGTCAGCAGCCTCGCATGGGTGGTACTGCGTCCGTAACGTCACAGTCTGTCAGTAGCCTCGCTGTGTGGTACTGCGTCCGTAACGTCACAGTCTGTCAGAAACCTCGCTGTATGGTACTACCTCCGTAACGCCACAGTCTGTCAGCAACCTCGCTGTGTGGTACTGCGTCCGTAGCGTCAAGGTCTGTCAGCAACCTCGCTGTGTGGTACAACGTCCGTAACGTCACAGTCTGTCAGCAACCTCGCTGTGTGGTACTGCGTCCGTAACGTCAAGGTCTGTCAGCAACCTCGCTGTATGGTACTGCGTCCGTAACGTCACAGTCTGTCAGCAGCCTCGCTGTATGGTACTGCGTCCGTAACGTCACAGTCTGTCAGAAACCTCGCTGTATGGTACTACCTCCGTAACGCCACAGTCTGCAGTATCTGTCAGCAACCTCACTGTGTGGTACTGCCTCCGTAACGTCACAGTCTGTCAGAAACCTCGCTGTGTGGTACTGCGTCCGTAACGTCACAGTCTGTCAGCAACCTCGCTGTGTGGTACTACCTCCGTAACGTCAGTCTGTCAGCAACCTCGCTGTGTGGTACTGCGTCCGTAGCGTCACAGTCTGTCAGAAACCTCGCTGTGTGGTACTGCGTCCGTAACGTCACAGTCTGTCAGCAACCTCGCTGTGTGGTACTGTGTCCGTAACGTCACAGTCTGTCAGCAACCTCGCTGTGTGGTACTGCGTCCGTAGCGTCACAGTCTGTCAGAAACCTCGCTGTGTGGTACTGTGTCCGTAGCGTCACAGTCTGTCAGCAACCTCGCTGTGTGGTACTACCTCCGTAACGTCAGTCTGTCAGCAACCTCGCTGTATGGTACTGCGTCCGTAGCGTCAAGGTCTATCAGAAAAACCTCGCTGTGTGGTACTGTGTCCGTAACGTCACAATCTGTCAGCAACCTCGCTGTGTGGTACAACGTCCGTAACGTCACAGTCTGTCAGTAACCTCGCTGTGTGGTACTACCTCCGTAACGTCAGTCTGTCAGCAACCTCGCTGTATGGTACTGCGTCCGTAGCGTCACAGTCTGTCAGAAACCTCGCTGTGTGGTACTGCGTCCGTTACGTCAGTCTGTCAGCAACCTCGCTGTATGGTACTGCGTCCGTAGCGTCAAGGTCTATCAGAAAAGCCTCGCTGTGTGGTACTGTGTCCGTAACGTCACAATCTGTCAGCAACCTCGCTGTGTGGTACTACCTCCGTAACGTCAGTCTGTCAGCAACCTCGCTGTATGGTACTGCGTCCGTAGCGTCAAGGTCTATCAGAAAAACCTCGCTGTGTGGTACTGTGTCCGTAACGTCACAATCTGTCAGTAACTTCGCTATGTGGTACTACCTCCGTAACGTCAGTCTGTCAGCAACCTCGCTGTATGGTACTGCGTCCGTAGCGTCAAGGTCTATCAGAAAAACCTCGCTGTGTGGTACTGTGTCCGTAACGTCACAGTCTGTCAGCAACCTCGCTGTGTGGTACTACCTCCGTAACGTCAGTCTGTCAGCAACCTCGCTGTATGGTACTGCGTCCGTAGCGTCAAGGTCTGTCAGCAACCTCGCTGTGTGGTACTGCGTCCGTAACGTCACAGTCTGTCAGCAACCTCGCTGTATGGTACTGCGTCCGTAGCGTCACAGTCTGTCAGCAACCTCGCTGTATGGTACTGCGTCCGTAGCGTCACAGTCTGTCAGCAACCTCGCTGTGTGGTACTACCTCCGTAACGTCAGTCTGTCAGCAACCTCGCTGTATGGTACTGCGTCCGTAGCGTCAAGGTCTATCAGAAAAACATCGCTGTGTGGTACTGTGTCCGTAACGTCACAATCTGTCAGCAACCTCGCTGTGTGGTACAACGTCCGTAGCGTCACAGTCTGTCAGCAACCTCGCTGTGTGGTACTACCTCCGTAACGTCACAGTCTGTCAGCAACCTCGCTGTGTGGTACTACCTCCGTAACGCCACAGTCTGCAGTATCTGTCAGCAACCTCGCTGTGTGGTACTGCGTCCGTACCGTCACAGTCTGCCCGCAACCTCGCTGTGTGGTACTGCGTCCGTACCGTCACAGTCTGCCCGCATCCTCGCTGCATGGTACAGCAACCTCGCTGTGCTTCTCAGAGTGATCCCCGCCCCACAAAGCGATATGAGCGCAATAACGATGAGGAATGGGCCCTGGTCTTGCACTTTCAATCTTAGCATTTTTTAAGAAGCGATATACATTATATGAACATTAAAAACGATTCACTTAATCAAACTTGAATTTTTTTCTTTCAATTACAGCGGAGTTCCGTATATTTTTATTTATATTCCATGTGTATTAATATTGGATTCTGTTTTTAATTCACAGTGCAGGTTCCTTTTTTAAGTAGTGAAAACAGTTGATATTTAACATAGAAAAATATATATTGATTTACATGGCTTGAAACTTCGACAGTCATACAGTTGTTGGTGAAAACAGAATTGTGCCCGTGTTACCAGTTCTATCGATCGCTGTTGCCAAGGTGTAAACATTTACATTGCTAAAGTGCATGTATACACAGTGTAGTAAACCAGACAAATCAGTATTATTCTAGGTCTGTGGACTATTTAGCCTCAAATACATCTCATTGTATCAGCAACCACGGGAGCGCAGCAAATACAATATTCCTGTTCTAGGTCACGTGAACGTTGTCATGACACCCACTGTAAACGGAAAGATGCACCGTATTGGGGAACCACAAATGGCGATTCTATACTAATATATGTTGTTAGATGTTTGTTTTGTTGTGCATATTCAATTTCGAAAACTAAATGCGTAAATCGATGGTTATAGATTTCGCGTTTGGAAATCGCAAAGATGTTTGTTTGTTTGTTGTTTAATCCCGCACTCAGCAATATTCCAGCTATATGACGGCGGCATGTAAATAATCGAGTCTGGACCAGACAATCCCGTGATTTACATCATGAGCATCGATCCACGCAATTGGGATACGATGACATGCATCAACCAAGTCAGTGAGCCTGATCCTCGGATCCCGTTAGTCGCCTCTTACGACAAGCATAGTCGTCTTTTACAGCAAGCATTGGTCGCTGAAGACCTATTCTACCCCGATCTTCACGGGTCCCCCCAAGATGAATACACAGTTTTTCTTAATTCTACCAAGACAGAAGGACGTGTGGTGGTAACGAAAGTGGCGAGTGAAGTGGCAACGGCTGGGAGATACATGTTTAGTAGGTCGAATGTCAGAATTCAGGACTCAGTGGTGATTGCCAAACATCCAACCATACTTTTTCTTCAACGGATGTACGGGGCGGTCGGGTAGCCTAGTGGTTAAAGCGTTCGCTCGTCACGCCCGAAGACCCGGGTTCGATTCCCGACAAGGGTACAATGTGTGAAGCCCATTTCTGGTGTCCCCCGCCGTGATATCGCTGGAATATTGTTAAAGGCGGCGTTAAACCATACTCACTCACTCAATGGATAAACTTAAACCATACATTAATTAAAGCGAACGGCTGTTATGTGTAATTGATGAAATATACTTTATGATATTTAAAATAGAAGATCATATTTTATCATTATTTTTTTTCACAACACCGTTTCGCGCTTTGTCGAGATGACGTCATACTGGTCTTAGATGTTGATTGTATGCCTTATGCAGATCTTAGTCTCGGCCAGGGAGACACGTTTCGTCTTTCGTCTGTTGCATTATATCCCGGAAGCACATCAGTGCAGATGTACATTTTCATATCGTCCATTCGATGTATACGAGCAGATTGAAACCGTACTGCTCTAAGTAAACTTGGATATCACCCAGGGCTTTAAATATCGAAAAGCGACTGTGGTAGAATAGGTCTTCAGCAACCCATGCTTGCCGGAAAAGGTGACTAAGCTTGTCGTAAAAGGCGACTAACGGGATCGGGTGGTCAGGCTCGCTGACTTGGTTGATGCATGTCAACGATCCCATTTGCGTGGATCGATGCACCTGATATTAATCACTGGAATGTCTGGTCCAGACTCAATTATTTACAGAACGCCGTCATATAACTGGAATATTGCTGAGTGCGGCGTTAAACAACAAACCAACCAACCTTTCAAGAGGCAATGCGTGGTCCACTTGCACAGTTCCCTCGAATAAACAGATAAACAGACCGTCTGACTCCCTCCATGTCCCGGCATAGTCCCAGCTCATCTCCTTGCGGTCTCTAATTATTCAACTATAAAAACTTGCAGAGGAGTGGCAAAACCAGACGCTTCGAAGTGCATCTTATCTTAAATAAGTTATTAAATAAGAAGAATTATAATTGAGCGAATGGGCACTTCTAGCAAGATTGATTTACAGCGTTACCATGGTGTTCGTCCGCTAACTGAAATTTATTGATGTATACAAGACTATCATTCAGTCTCTGAAGACTTTTTGGAGTTAAATTGTCTTAAGATGGACATTGTACAATGAAAGAGAACCCCAGAAAATCTTCATTTTCAGAAACTGAAGAAATTGCTTTTGCTTCAGGATCTGCATAAGAGCCTAGATTTATATCAACCAAGCACTTCAATATTACCCTAATTCTACTTAGACAATGTCTCAGGTTCACACAGGGCGCTAATTACAAACGTCTCTATCGATACTGGTAATGAGCATCATATGGTAAAGGATAGTGCCTTGTTAATTGTACTTACTGTGCTTCAAACTTGTATTTTTAATTCAGAGTTAAAATCCAACATTCGTTTGCAGCTTGCCGTGTGTGATGTCCCGGCCCCCCTCTAGTTCTCCTATTCAGCGGATTATATTGAGCAGGAACAGCGTCTCTCCCGATCCAGCACCGGAATCTGGGGAGCTGTACACGATGGACGACAATGAGTGAGTTATCTCCCTTTATTGAATTCGTCGTTTGAATTCCCGATGTCTCGTTTCTTGTGGTTAGATTCAGATAAGGTAACGTTCAGCTAATCTGTATCCTACGAAAGCTCCTGTCAATATTTGAATAAAACATAAAAATAACCATTCGTAAAATGAATTGTCACCATCAAGGTTATAAATACAACTCAAAAGACGTTTAAGAACACCCGAGTTTTCCAAATTACTTATTGTGGTTATTCCATCATGACGCCCGATTTTTTATTTAACTTTAGTTAATATATCATGACTTCTTTTGAGTAGAATATTTCAAGGGCGGGTTTCGAAATGTGTAAGGAGGATTGAGCAATATGCTTGTATAGTAAGTGGGTGGTCATGACATATCCCGACACAATCTGTACTGCTCATCGTTTCAATTACCCGTGGCTGTAGTTGTCATTAGTTTTCTCTCTTCATTTGTCTGTTTCGTTTTCACGTGTCTTTCCTTTGGCTTTCGTTATTTTTCATATTTGGGTATCGCCCTTCACAGGTCGTCGAGACTGAAACCTAGCGATGCAGTCACTAGTCAGCCACAAACAAATGTCCCTAGGTAATCACTGGAACGTTGGTTCACAATAATGCATGTGTGTTTTTGTTTGTTTCACGCTGCGCTCAGCAAAACTCCATCTATGTCACGGCTGCTTATAAATAATCGAGTCTTGGCCAGACAAACCAGTGATCGATATAATATGCAACGTCCCTCATCCTCGAAATAAGATGACACACAATCCCCCTAGTCACCGACCCTGACCACACGGCAAGCACATGTCACTGGGACTTATTCTAACCAGTAATCCCCACTGGATCCACCATCTTCCCGAGGCAAGGGAGTTTACTAACTATAAAAGTCCAGTTTCCACCCTTGCCGAACTTGGGTGGAATTTCCATACTCGATCGTAGCGCCACCAGTGGCTATTGCGAGTTATATCCCTTCTATGCCCCGCCTACTTCAAACAAAATGGCGGCGCCCAGTCAAGAATTTATGATCGATTATCGAGATCTATATTGTAATAGAACGGGTGTGACCTCGCATAGCTTGTTTTGCATCTTCCCGTTTACCATATCTGGTGCCCCCCGCCGTGATATTGCTGGAATATTGCTAAAAACGGCGTAAACCTATACTCACTCACTCACTCTTCCCGTTTACGAACCGGATGTCGATTTCGTTACGCGATTTTGCTTGGACTATGCATAGACTCGTTAGTCCAGCCAAACTGTAACTCCATAATACAAGCCAAGTTCGGCAAGAGTGGAAACTGGACTTTTATAGTCAGTTAACTCCCTTGACTCGGGGATATGTGGGTTCACATGCACTGTCCATCTCATTAAAACGTAGAACGATAACTAATACCCCGCTCTAGGGCTGTGACAAGTCCAAATTTACTACCCGGGTACCCACCCCCCTATTACCCGACCCTACCCGGATACCCAATGTAGGTCTCAGGAGTTGTCTCAAAATGTCCGACTGGGAAATTTTTTTCAGTACCCACCCGACCCTAGTACCCGAGTTACCCGTCCCAGCCCTACCCCGTTCACATGCACAACATTTACTAACGTAAGGAATTTTACACATGTGTAACTATACATACGTGCGTATATGTAAATTTACTTTGCGTTCACATGAAAAGCATCATATAGGTGTGTAAATAAAGTATGTAAATTGTGTAGGCACACATATTCGTTAGTCTGTTCGCGACTTTCAACACAAAACAGGTTGTTTTCCAATCAAAGTTGAATGAGAAGAGAGTAACTTCACCGAAAGTTTTCGCATGAAGCAGCATGTGTTTGATTTAATTTGTACACAAAGCTATGACTCCTTTAAAGCAAAAGTAAACACCGTCCGCTCAACTGTTGACAATGTGTTTGGTGTTGGCAAAAGAACAGATATTAAGCAGATCATCCTCTAACGTTGACATAAACGTTCGCTTATTTTCACTGCTTTGTTTACTTTTCTATGTTTGTCTTTTGTTTGTTTTATTATTTCCTTCTTTGTTTCTTCTGATTATTTTTACATCAGGCCTCTACCAAACGTTGTCTTGCCCGCCCGACTGCCGCCACTGGAGTCGCACAGGTTTGAAATGATTGTTTTTTGTTGTCTTATCACCAGAACCGTTTGCCACCACTCGTGTCATTCCGATGTTTCGTAAAACAGTTAACGGGGAGGGGCGAGTGGTGACGAATGGGGAGGCGGCGTCATGTATACGTTTGTTCTATTCTGAGATTAACCGAGCGCTTCCAGCGGAGCCGATTTCGCAGCACCTTAGATATAACACTCTTAGACTTAGAGTCGGTCTGGAGCAACACAATTTGGGCTTATATCGTGTCTAATATATCAATTATAGAAAAGACCGACTTTCTGAAAAAAACAACCCATAAATTTTGATAATTTGACCCAAAGATCTTAAGCCAATATTTAGTGACATTAACAAGTTGTAGTTTTATTAAAGAGGGGGGTGACAAATTAGATTAATCTTCTTTTTTTTATCACGGGGACGTTTTGGTCAATTCTCAAGACAATATTTATAAATTTTACCTGTTTGAGACACAATACCTTCTCTGCGTGTTTGCCATTTTGCACGTGATGACACGCGATTTCCAAATTGTGGTTGATCGACTGTTTACGTGGATATTATGCATGACAAAGTGAGTTTAATCGTGACATAGGTTTAGAGATAGAATAGTTGACCTTATTAAATAATAATAAGTGAACTTTGCTCTTGAGACGACCCGCAGAATATATACCCGTGAAGACACCGTCCTGGCGCATGTTTACAAATAGTGCTTATAGTACTTAACATAACTAATAACATTGTGAATGTGACTGCATTGTCTAACTGCTTGTAGATCTACACAATCATGATACCTGACTCACACTTATATATGGAATACTGTGAGGGACATTCTCGCAATCTCGCTATCGCGATCTTTGGAAGAAGCCAAATATGCCAAAAGTGCCAGAATGCGAGATCGCGAGAATGTCCCTCAAAGTATTTCATACTTATAGACGTAAAGTCTCATATTTAGTATTATGATATATATGTACATTGATCAATGTTTCAGTTCTCAACTTTAAATTTGAACAGTAGACAAAAGAGAAGAATATTTACAAAGACTTGAGCTAATAGCCCCTCATCTTCCACTTACAAACTGAAAAAACATGTATAAATGGCGGAGGGTGACCAATGAAAATAATTCATTTAGTAATGGACAGGCTCGCTGACTTGGTGGATGCATGTCATCGTATCCCAATGGGTAGATCGATGCTCATGATGTCAGTCACTGGATTGTCTGGTCCAGACTCGATTATTTACAGACCGCCGTTATATAGCTGGACTATTATTTCTGAGTGCGGCGTTGAACAACAAACAAATACACAAACTTCATATGATAAACATGATTTTATATACTAGTATTTTACGATGTACATTATCACTGTTTTACTCTCACAGCTAAGTAACTGTTGAAATTTAAAATAAGATGGACATTTAAAGATATATTTAGCAATATATTTAATTCTATAATTCTTAAATTTTGGACATATTAATAAAAAATGATATTCATCTTCAAAGATACCAAATCACGATATTCAAAACATAGCTATATTCTTTCTAATATGAGATTGACCGCGACGTTAAACCACAATCACCACACCTCTTATATTCAGTGAGGCGGCGGGGTAGCCTCGTGGTTAAAACGTTCGCTCTTCTGGCCGAAGACCCGGGTTCAATTCTCCACATGGGTACAATGTGTGAAGCCCATTTCTAGTATCCCCCGCTGTGTTATTGGAGAAATATGGCTAACAGTGGCGTAAAACCAAACTTACTCACTCTAATATGTTAGTATGAAGTATGTTAGCATATTTTCTGTTTCCTGCTTAAACTAGCGAGGGGTTTCTTCTGATGAGGAAATAGACTGAAAGGATGTTTTAAAAATATTTGATTTATAGAATGCGTCAGGCTAGTCCAAAGATGGGATTACATCGCATGACTTGGTGAAATATAATTCCCTTCCTTTTCATTTCTCTTGTGTCTTCTTCAAACAAGCTTGACATGCCCTGGACATCAACAGTATGCGCCTACTGGAAATTGTTATTGTGTTTTTATTTAAAGCTCATTCTCTACAACACAAATCTTCATTTTGATAAAAAACCCAACAATTCTGGCAGTAATGTGGTAGGTAAATCCATGCATATACACGATTCTCTTGTTTCTCACAGAACGACCCTAACAGCGTATGTAAGTTAATTTCACATACGGAGCCGATTGCTTCTATGAGTTTAATGAAGGTAATCTTTGTGAATATTTAAAATGTTTTATAAGAATGAAAACAAGGTATGGTTATATAACCCTTGGTAATCGATTCACGTAACTTTAGGGACCCGTGAAGATCCAGGGTAGAATAGGTCTTCAGCAATCCATACTTGCCGTAAAAGGCGAGTATGCTTGTCGTAAGAGGCGACTGACGGGATCGGGTGGTCAGGCTCGGTGACTTGGTTGATGCATGTAATCGTATCCCAATTGCCTGGATCGATGCTCATGATGTCAATCACTGGATTGTCTCGTTCAGACTAGATTATTTACAGACCTCCGTCATATAGCTGGAATATTGCTGAGTGCGGTGTTAAACAACAAACAAACAAACAAACAAACGTAACTTTGGGAAACGTTTCAAGCTAAACCATATACCCTTGCGGAGGATGTGGATGGGTTTGAAAACTAGAATCGGCCATTGTCGGCACTGAACATGCTGTAATGCTTTTTGAGTCCTCCACCCATAGCATGCACCCCCAACATGCATGCAAACGGGAAGTTGTATATTTAGGTTCCGCGTTAATTGAATTTATTTTTGGTTCCATGGTTCTGTTGTTCAGCAGAGTGCGCACGGATGTGAAACGCGTACACACCCCATTCACATCAACATCACGACGACTGTAGTGAGCTGAGTTTGTTGCAGCTAGAACAGTTTACACCAATTACATTTACAGTTTTGTAATTCATGTGAACGTATAAAGGATTATTCAGGAAAAGGCCTTTGAAAGGCATTGAGAAGTGATACACACAAGGAAGAGAATATATAGAGGTCAACTTTTTTATTATGAGGAACACAACGTTTCGGAGTATATACTTACTCCTTCATCACCTGATGGACGTCAACTTCTTTATTATGAGGAACACAACGTTTCGGAGTATATACTTACTCCTTCATCACCTGATGGACGTCAACTTCTTTATTATGAGGAACACAACGTTTCGGAGTATATACTTACTCCTTTATCACCTGATGGACGTCAACTTCTTTATTATGAGGAACACAACGTTTCGGAGTATATACTTACTCCTTTATCACCTGATGGACGTCAACTTCTTTATTATGAGGAACACAACGTTTCGGGGTACATATTTGCTTACTCCTTCATCACCTGATGGATGTCAACTTCTTTATTATGAGGAACACAACGTTTCGGAGTATATATTTGCTTACTCCTTCATCAGGTGATGAATGCCATGAGGAAGAGATCATATTATATATGTACAGGTAAGGACTTACTGCTTTGATCTATGCCGGGGCTAATTACCTAGCTCGCTTCATTTTGCCCTTTGCTATTTCCATTCTTTCACCCATCATATATATATGTTCTCTGCCTCATGGCAATCCGTGCGCAAAATACGCATATGGCGGAAAGCGCACGTTAACTTCTAATTTAAGTAAGTAATTCATGGCATTCATTCACCTGATGAAGGAGTAAGCATATACTCCGAAACGTCGTGTTCCTCATAATAAAGAAGTTGACATCCATATATTATCTTCCTTATTCAGGAATAGCAAAGAAATTCCCCTTTGCTGGAAACAAATGGGATATATTCATAATCGCTGCAAATTCGTGTATTGAATTATGGTGCAAGATAAAGAATGTGCATGTCAATACTTCACAGGTCCATTAACGTAGTGGATACCCGCAAAGTATTGAACACAACACAACAAATCACATTGTAGTCTTTTGATTCCAAAGCAGCGGCTACGGTATATTCATAGACCATCGATGGTTGTTGATTCAAAATGATAGTAAATAAGCATGTTATGGTACTTTTGTATAATTTTATTTCTGATGCCAAAAACATATGTACTGTATTTCGGGAGATATTTGGGGAATTTCTCTCTGAATCGTTCATCTTTATTAGGAAATAGAGAATTTAATTATATTTACTTGAAAATTTAATAAGTCAGTCAATATATATCATGTCTTATGATCGTAAGTATATGTCAAAATTTGGGAATGGAGACGCAAAGGTCTCGTTGTAAAATTGGGCTGAATGAATAGTCTGACTACAGTTATCTCCCTTATACCGATTGGTTTCATATTTTGGTTTTCATATGAATACAAGTATTGCAGCAACCTTGTGATTAACACAATGAGTGTTTGCAGTGTACACATAGCACCATGCACGAGACATTGCATGCATACGGTATGCACGGTGTTGACATTTTGCCGAGTTGACAGTGTGCACAGTATATAGATGCCCTTTGTCGTTTTGAGTTTGCAATCACCCGTGCACATCTGGGGTAATAGATTTCACAATTGCAAAACGCGCTTGACACACTTGTTGCCCAATATTTCCCTGGGGGTACATTGTTTAGTATCCTGGTTCCTCGCGCACGTGTCATTAACCGGGCGTTGTCTACCGTACGTCCAGTTACTCTGGAATACAGGATCAATACTTTAATGGGTGCTTTTATATGGTTATTGGTTTTTGTCTTAATTATGTAAACTAATATGCCCTTTGATCTGTTAAAGGTACCCCGCCCATAGTTGTTTTGTCTGTGTTGTCCAATGCCTCACTCAGCAATATTCCAGCTATATGACGGCGGTCTGTAAATAATCGAGTCAGGACAAGACAATCCAGTGAGTGACATCATGAGCATCGATCAACGCAATTAGGATACGATGACATGCATCAACCAAGTCAGCGAGCCTGACCACCCGATCCCCTTAGTCGCCTGTTAGATTTAGGTAGATACAATATTAGTATTGTCCTGCCAAATAACATGTATTTGTTTTTAGGTGAAGTGAAAATGTCCCCAGTAGACTTGGTTAATGGAGTGAATGAGTGAGTGAGTGAGTTGGCGAGACGCCGCTTTTAGCAATATCCCAGCGCTGTCACGGTGGAGGCACCAGTGGACTTCACACATTGTATCCATGTCTGGAATTGAACCTAGGTCTTCGACGTAAAAGGCTAACGCTTTAACCACTAGACTACCTTCCACCTTTTCCTTGTACAGATTATGTAGTATCACTGAATACAAGATATACAGTCTATAAGAAGTATCCTTAATAAACACGAATGTATTATTGCCGGGGAAAACAGGCGTAACTTAAAACATCTTTGAGGTAAAATATAGACTTAAAAATAAACCCAGCAAAGGACAAAACAATTTCGTTCTCCTGCATTTTTAACTCTCAATTTATTCCTGTCAGATCTAGTTTCTATATATAACGTGATATCCTTTACGCTTGTAAGTATATACAGTTTAACGGTTTGTATATAGGGAGCGGATCTCGTTTTCCCTACCCTATTGACGGTTGGATTTGTCACTGAAATATTTTATGACAGTTTAAGAGCAACGCAAAACGTGACGAAATAGCAGTGACGTATATCTGATCACGTGACACACGATAACATAGTCAGGGAGTCACGTGACTGAGATGACGCGCTAACAAAGTGTTTATAAGACAAAATCTATACATGAAAGGCTGCAACACATACACATCTAAAACTGAAACATAAAGTGTCTTTTGTTATTTTTGTTAAGAACGTCATAAATCATGTTTTTTTATATACCTAGGGCTCGCTCCACAAAGCGATCGCAGTCGTTTAGTCTATGTTAAAGTATGGGAGTTACGATCACCTTAACGCTACTATTGCTTTGTGGAACGGACCCCTGATGATATACGTTATTCGTACACGCGGTCTTTTATGGTAAAATTGCAAGTTAGGACGTATCATAGTAAGATATCTATAAAAGAAACTTATGAATATGCACATTTTTAACCATAATGAGCTACATATATCGGTCAGAAGCCCTACGCACCTACATGTTGTAACATATTTCTTACGTTAATAAAAGCGTATAGTCATGCTAGCCCGTGCTTCCGTCTTATAAAATTAATAACCACAATTACAATGTAATTTGATGCCGGTGGCTGCCTGGCGAGGAGCTCTATATAAACAGTGATCGTACGCACAGCTGCTTCTCGGTGTCATTCATAATGCACTTGGAGTTGTGTCTGTGTGTACAGAGAGCCTTATGAAGATCTTTGTGAGACTTAAGTTACAGTTATATTGCTATAGTGACCAGTGAACTGTCGTTTCAGGGACACGCAGGGATCAGTTAACATCGAACCGAATCTAGCGGCATCCACCGATGTCGATGACGATAGCAGGTGAGTTGATAGTGAGTGAGTTGGGTTTAACGCCACTTTTAACATTATTAAAGTTATATCACGGCGTGTCAGCTTAAAGTGGGAGGAAAGCCCGAAGTGGTGCAGGTCTCAGACGTTTACCACTTCGGTGAAGCCCACGAGCACGGGTATGGTGCTGACAAACCTAGAAACATAATCGGGCGAACCGGGATTCGAACCCACAAGCATAGGTTTCTGGCGTGCTCAACGGACGTAACTCTGTACAGCGAATCGCGGTGCCTTAGATCACTGGGCCACCCGTGCCCTCTGAGTTGATAGATTTGATGTAAACTGAGTGGAAAAAGAAAGTATAGACCTATGCTTGATGGGACTAAAAATGAACCAAAGAAGAAATGGTCATTCGATGGTGATGTTTTTTATACTGGTTTCATGGTTGTGTTGTTGGACTTTGGGGTGTCTCGGGGACTGTTTGGGGCCTAGTAGCATTCGAAAACGTTTGTATTTTTGGCCGGTCACATCAGATTTTCAAGTGAATACTTTCTTGTGCTCGGCAGGATATTTTCTATTCCCTATGCACAATACAACGTACATGCATAGTCAGAGCCAACGCCATGTTTTTAATTAGTGCGTTTCCCTATACACATATATGAATAGCCATGAACAAATGCACAAACGAATTAAACTTTGTTTGTTTGTTGTTTAACGCCGCACTCAGCAATATTCCAGCTATATGACGGCAGTCTGTAAATAATCGAGTCTGGACCAGACAATCCAGTGATTTACATCATGAGCATCGATCCACGCAATATGTCATGGGATATGATGACATGCATCAACCAAGTCAGCGAGTCTAACCACCCGATCCCGTTAGTACGACAAGCATAGTCGCCTTTTACGGCAAGTATGGGTTGCTGAAGACCTATTCTACCCCGGATCTTCTCCAGTCAATTAAAGTTTGTGTTTGTATTAACAGTATAATATTAACAGTTTTAGTGTGCCTTATAATATATACAAACACAATGTTATGTTACCAGTGTGTTATAGCCAAGGAATTCACAGGGAATCTGCAGCACCCTAGTGGACGCTACGGTCCCCGGTCCCCAGACCATACTCTCTTGTTCCCCTCCACCCGGCCCTTACAGAAATGTTAAAGCCTCAATAAAACAAGACTAGATTTCGCCACAGGTTCTGGATCTCCCATCTGATTGGGGCTCCTTTTCAATTGAAATAAAGTTTCTTGTTTCTATCCAAATTATATATTTTAGAGACTGGGCGTTAGTCTGATAGGTCCCCAGGATTATATATTGGTCGTAAGGGCCCGACAGATTGTCCAATGATCGGCCCCAAGAGGCGACCGAATGGATCGGGGGTACATGATCAGGCTCGATGACTTGGTTGGCCCCGACATCGTGGATCGTTGCTCACAATATCAATCACGGGATTGTCCGTCCCACACTCGATTATTTACAGGCAGCTGGCAAAGAGCTGTAAATATTTAAAGTATGTTTTTAGGTTATGAAATATATCAAGGAGATTACACTCAGTGCATGATAAATTAATCTCATGAAAGAATGTGTTATCGCCATAGCTGGATACCTACTTCCTTGATGTACGCCGACTTCAGTAGTATATCACACTTACCCTAAAATCTTCGCAGTTTCGAAAGATCGTGTTTTTCAGTTTGTTAAATAAACAAGGGGTGTAAAAACTCTGTCAGTACATAATAATATGTTCTGTGGATCATCATACTTATTAATGCCAACTGGTGGTTGTGTCATAAGAAATCGATCTATGTACACCCTTTGTGTTAAATGCAATTGAGAAAATGACGTATTTATGTCCTTATGTCAAGTGTACATCCTTTCAGTCAAGTGTACACCCTTTACTTTGGTGTATGATATAGATACAATGTATATCATAGGCTTAAATGTTGGCCCCCTCAGTATAGCGAATGAAGACAGACTGCCTAACTCTCGCAGATGAACATAGTAAAGACAGTCATATCATATACTTGTGACTGTAACCTTGAATTAATTAATATTACCCACCCACCACACCCCCATCCACCCACCCACCCCTTGAGGCCATTCTATAATACCATTTGTATTTGTATTTTGATGCAACTGGACTCATCGTGGATGGCACTGTGGTGTTAGCATCATCTGTCAAATTCACATTTACATATTTTTTGCCTCCTCAATTATTCTTTATCTTTGGTGCAAAAATAATATTTTCTGTGTACCTCCAAAAATGTCTTACATGTGTTTCGTAGCCCATGTCAAAAACAGAAATTATTTAACACGTTATATAATTTTTGACAAATAACGAAACGTTATATATATCGGCATGGTTTCTTGCAACCTACAACACAAGTAATTGATCGTCCTGATCGGTTATGTTCGCAGTATCGACACAAGGTACCACGTTGGAGTCAGGGTGTGCATGTTGGTTGTCTTCGTTACACCGCGCATAAAGCCAGCATTAACCCAACGAGGACACGCTTCATTGTTGTGTTAATGAACTATCAATACCGGTGAGCATGTTTTCATGTCACGCATCTTACTGTTGCCTCTGTTTCAGCGCCCTCAAACCCAATGAGAAATACACCACAATAGGGGAGCCTGAGGAAACGTAAGTGTTCATGTTTTGTAAAACACTCAAATCTCGTTGATTCGAAGTCCGGTGGACCATCAATAATATGTAGTCGTACACATAGTTCGAGACCAGGGGAGCGTCGATGAAGGCGCTGTCAGTTCTATCAAGTAAAGTATTATATCGATATATCGATAATGGTGGATGGGTTAACGAGTTGAAAGATAGGCTGCTTGTCTCATTAACAGACCCTATGGCATATACTTTATAGCAATCACCCCGCCACCACTACCCTTCTCGGCTCTAGCATCCCATTCCATCTCATTTTCAGATTTAGAGACTTAGGGGTTCCTGAATACACGAGGGTTCTTTAATGGAATAATCTATATTCACGCCTTACACATAACTTTGGGCGACTTTGGGCGTCAAATTAACCAAAGGAATGCCTGAGGAGAAAATATACCCAACACAGATTAGTGATGGCATTTGATACTGACGTCATGGTAACGATGACGTCACAATGGCATGCAAACAGTGTGATGCAATTTCATTGTAGCGATATCTTTTGATAAATATCGCTTGATATTCCCCATAAGGGCATCCCGTTACCTCTGGACTTTTAAAGTCAGTTAACTCCCTTGCCTCGGGAAGATGCCATAAGGGGCAGAGTGTTCGAACAATAACTTTCCGATATTTCCACATATGCGATTCTCAATGCTGATTGGTCAGTTGTCCGGAATGCTTCATTGTTGAGAAAAATGCGATATGATGTCATCCATTGTTCATGACGTCACAAATTACATTTAGTGGTCTGAATAATAGGGTGCTTCCGGTGACATTTCTCTGTACGGAAGACACTGCATACGTTTCCTTTTTTCATGTCTCTTACAATGTTAGTGTGTAATAGATAGAACAACCTACTCGAATCTCGGAATCACAGATTATCTGCCCCTCGTGAATGAAGGCAAGTACCTCGCCGAAGGCTCGGGATTAGCACCATTCATTCACTCGGGTCAGATAATCCGTAATTTCTAGTAGTTCGTTGGCACAAAACTTTTCGCGAGCAGCTTCCTGTATATAATCTGTCTATTACGCATGCGTTGTGACCATGGTAGCAGTATCCAACAAAATGGCGGACAACTAAGTTGACAAAAATGTGAAGCGGAAGTCCGGAGTATGTATATTTAATTCAAGTTCACAACACATAACAGATGAAAGACCGCATGCAATATATTTTGGTATGTATCGCAATACAGGAGTCATTATTGCAAAAAATTGCAAAACAAAAGTCAGACAAATATCCATCGCTGCACGTTGGTTATTCTCTTAAATCTCGCACAAGCGACAACTCCCGTGAAAGTCAGTTTGGAATGATGATTAGGCCCTATATGACAAGTACGCCTTATTGAAAAATGCATGTTTGATGTTTATGTTTATATGCAAACCATTACAGGGGACGGTGGGGTAGCCTAGTGTATAAAGCGTTCGCTCGTCACGCCGAGGCCCGGGTTCGATTCCCCATATGGGTACAATGTAAGAAGCCCATTTCTGGTGTACCCCGCAGTGATATTGCTGGAAAATTGCTAAAAGCGGCGTAAAACAATACTCACTCAAAGAAAGACAGATGTACTGAGTAAATTAATTAGTCACAAATAATGGTAAACATGTATTTCACAAGGGAAGTATAAATAGTAAATCAAAGTTGGTTATTTTTTCAAAGTTCATATTTTTAACATGTCGTTGCAATATTGCCGATATGTTAAATATTTACTCAAATACTCTTTAACAAAATATAGAAACATGTTGGTTTCCTGATCACGAGTTGAAACTTCAGATCAATTAATTGCTGGAACGATGCCACCTTTTAAAAAAAACGTCTGTAAAGTCGTGAACAATGGATGCCCCAATCTTCCATTATTTGCGACCACGTGTTGATATGACATCACATGGATATGGGCCTCTTCGCAAACAATAAACAAGAATCAAGTCTTTGAATGGCATTTAGAAGTGATACATATAAGTAAGAGAATTTGTGGACGCCAACTTCTGTATTATGAGGAACACAGCGTTTCGGAGTATATACACTTACTCTTTCATCAGGTGAATAAATGCTACGAAACAGAGGACATATACTGAACCGCAAAAGAAACGTCACCATGGATAGATATGAGAAACCTTATTTGTCCAAACACTGTAAACATACTTTGAGACATATTAAAAAGATGAAACTTGGCAAAACTGATCATCAAGGTTGAAATTAAAGTGTCAAATGTTCTTAAAGTGAAACACAACACTAGTCTCTGAGAAAATGGCATGACAAGTCAGTATCTCGTGTGTCCACCATGTGCATTGATGACTGCCGTGTAACGTCGATACATGGAATGGATGAGGCGGTTGATGAAGGCCATAGGTACTTGAGCCCACACTCTGAGGAACGCCTGACGCAGTTCACCTGCAGTTGTCAGCCATGGTCGGACGTCATTCAGCCGTCTTTGAATCTCGTCCCACGGGTGCTCAATGGGATCTAAATCGGGACCGAGGGCAGGCCACTGCATGGTTCTGATGCCATTCTGCTATTCGTGCCAAATTAGGTATGGCGTGTGGGCTCAAGACTTGATCAATGTACCGAGCTGCTGTGACACCATTGCCTCTCCCTGGACCGATGTTCTGGAAGACCACAGGGCCGACCCTCTGTGTAAGACCAATGACCACCCCCCAACCATGATGCTCGGGCCACCCCACGAGTCTCTTTTAACAACACAAGCATCCGAATAACGTTCCCCACGGCGTCGCCAGCCTCTCTCTCTCTCTCTGCCATCTGTTGTTAAGATACAGTAACGGCTCTCGTCTGAGAAGAGGACTCTTCTCAACTGCTGGTGGCGCCAATGCTGGTGTTGTGTTGAAACTGAAGACGGTCCCGGCGATGACGTGCTGTCAGAACCGGTGTGGCCTGTGACAGTGGAGGTGTCGACGCACGGTGTCCACACTAATGTGTCGCCGGTGTGTCCCCATGGTCTGTCGAGCAGTTTCCGCAGCAGTAACAAAGCGATCTTGCAGATGCTGTCGCACAATCTGGCGATCCGGACGTCGGGTGGTGACCCTTGGTCTTCCATTACGTGGCCGGTCATCTGTAGTGGACTTACGTAGACTTTGAATGCATTGGCTACTTGCTGGGCAGTTTGTCCAGCTTGCAATCCTCCAAGGGCTTGGTGTCACTTATTTCTTGTCAATCTTGGCATGTGGTAGGAATTCAATAACGAATGAATGTTATCCGATCTGGGTGGATTTTTATAGGGCAAGAAATGGGGAAACGCATGTGCATTTCAATTTGGACGGAACTCACGTGCATCGGGCTACCATGGCCGTTGCCGTGATGCGTTTGGGCGATCGGTTTTATTGTAATCAGCTTTGTTTTTTTATCATCAAATTTCATTTTTCCGGACAAAGAAATATTAAATTTTAGAAACTTTGACAAAAATTACCCAAATATTTACATGACAACTTTTCATGCAATGTTACTTGGGGTGACGTTTCTTTTGCGGTTCAGTATATATATGTACCAGTCAGAATAACAAAAGAAATAAGATAACAAAGCTGAAATAGAATAACAGGGTTGATGTCTCAGCTTGACATCGGGAAAGCCCGTATATCAGGTCAAGCTCTCCATGCACATAATAGGCCTGTAACTACACGGTTGACATGTCCCAGTTAGGCGTGATATTGAAGAGCGACATGGCAACAGGGTCTCCTGCCCATATACAGTCCAGGTCTCGACGTTGTAGCTGGGGACCTTTGTCAGTCTACAGTAAACTACGTTTATAACGAACACGCTTATAACGAACTGACGGATATAACGAACTGCCCCACCCAACGCCACCCACCCGCCATTTGCTGTATATATGCTCATAACGAACTGACGGATATATAACGAACTAGTTTTTTCCCCCTTCCATTTGCTGTATATATGGTTATAACGAACTACGGTTATAACGAACAAGAAATTAGTGCTCTCTTTGAGTTCGTTATGACCGTACGTAGTGGTGTAAGAGATTGGCCCTGTGTGCAACAGATTCACTACTGCGTTGTAGTTTTGGGTTATCATTAACAGTTTGTTTGAACTACATGATAAAATTTGACAGATATAAAAATGTGGCAATTGCGCAACTTGAATCAAATCCGTTGCAATTTGTCTGACCATTGCCCCCTTTTAACACTCAAGAAATGCGTCACGAAAACACACAGGGCAGTAGCAACTTTGTCCAATGTTGTTTTCAGTATTAATGTTCTCATATAGAACACGAATAACAGCATGGTTGGTAATTCAAGGGGGAACTGCTACCAGTCCTGATTATTCCTCGGGTCACCTGGTATGGGTGGGGCTTGTTCCCGCAGATACTTCGGGTACTCAACCGCAAAATTCCTTGTATAAACATTCCACCTCTGAACGTTTGACAACAGATCGTCCGTCATTCATGTACAGCTAAACCGCCTGACAATACATCCAAATTACATGAACGTTTTTTTGTAATACAAGCTACCAAATGGATTAATCGAACTATTTGAAAAGCTGTTGCGGGTATGATATCCGAAGCTGGCTGGACCAAGCGACCTTGACCTTGTACACCTGGCCAAACAGGTTGCAGTGTCATGTCAGGGTAAGACGTCCGTGTGACTGTGGTCGGACTGTACACGAAAAACACCCAGACTGGCCGGTTATTGTGAAATCCCATCAGCCCATAGGAATACATATATGTGTATACAATATAGGCTTACATTTGTATACCTGTGTCACGGTGTTGGCGTGTTTGTACTATAGGGACTCGGATATAGTCCAAGTCGGTACGAACACTGCAATGTTTGCACGATAATGTCCGAGGAAGACCAAGGTACAAACTGGACACTCCAGCGGCCCGATTCAGCATCGACTGGTAACTTGTCGGGTGTCCAACCGGAAATTTGGAGTTTTGACGGGTGAGTCGATCGGTATTGATTTATTTGTCTGCGTTTCTTGGCGCATGTCAATTGCTCATAAACACATT